TTAGTTTCGCCTACATAAGTAATACTTGATTCAATAACTATTTTAGATTTAATGGCACAACAAGAAGTAGCCTGACCAACAGCTCTCCTTGTGTGAATAGAGCACGCTCCGCTTCTCTCATGTGTAGTGAACTAAGCCTCAGGTCAAAACCTGACCCTAAAGACCTTCATGGGACAGAAACTGTTATTTCATTGATTTGAATCCAGAAATACGAATTAAGCTCATCCAGAGACTTTCTAATTTGTATCCTGAACTAATAAATTGAAAGAACACTCTCTTTTTATATTATCATTACTATTTTTACAATGTCTTGATAATCCAAAAGTGTGTTTAGTTCAAACCATTTTAAATGCTGAAGTGAACTACTCATTTTAAATCAACTGTGAAACAGTATTAATGATTTGTTTTAATCCTCATTCAAAGTAGAAATCATTTTAAATGTCTATGTTACAAAGTAATTATGCATTTTGATCTTCTCTCTGAAATGAGAAGTAGTGATGTCGGTCAAAAGTCGGAGACAGTCGCAAACAAGTTTATTGGAACGAACTGTCATGTTTTTAAACCTCTCAGACAGAAACAAGAGAAGCTGGCACCTGAGTCCCCCCACTTCGCCAAAACATTTCTCTGTCTGCTCCTAAACATTTCTCTGTCTGTTCCTAAACATCTCACTGTTTTTCTGACTTGTAGTAACCCTCTTACGTCACTAAAACCACACCCCTGTCGGTTCTTTCAACCAATCAGGACTTCCCAAAAGGGACCAGAAACAGAACTCTTTAAAGGTCGACACTTCCTAGTTCCAGTCAGTTAGTTCTGAGAGCAGAACCGAACAGAAAAGTTCTGAGAGCAGAAGTGATCCGAAGTTCTGGAGGATGAACAGAAGTTCCATGGAGAACAGAGAGTTCTGCTGAGAAGGAGTTCAGCATGTTTGCTGAAATTCCACTTAACTTAATCCTATCTTTCGGGGAAGTTTATTTTGGAAGCTGGGCCAGTCAGCCTCGTTATCCCAAGTTGATGAGACGCGGATAAATCCCTGGAGGTAAAAAGACTCAGCCTTGCTGGATACCAGGAGAAGACCTCTCTGAAACCCCACCAAGGTAAAGGGTCGACGCTCGGGTACATCTAGCCGAAATCACTGGGAAACGTGCTATCTGGTTTCAAACAAGATAACTCCCCATCTTTTCTTTATTATCTTAGTTAACCCTAAGTATCCACTTTCCCTCCTTAAACTTTACTCCATCTCTTCTATCTCGCCAGTAAAAGATAAGCTAAGCCTGCAGACATTAATTTAAGACCTAAGGATATGTCTGTTGTATTTTAGTTGCAAGTGAGAAATCATGGCCGTATGATTTCTCATTGTAAAGCTTATTAATTAAGCTGTGTTATTGCCTTCAATCAGAATAATCAAGTGTACAATGTTTGATGTTAAATTTTGATTCTGTTAATAAATGACCACATTCATTTTGATGGGTCAAAGAAAATTAACGTCTCACGTCACTGATTAGACCATCTCTGTCACATATCTGTCTGGAGAAAACCCACGTATGCACGCAGGGCTGGAGTGGGACTCATTTTCAGCCCTGGAGTTTCAGCCTCAGAGTGGCCCACTTTAGATCACGACCTATTATTATTAAAATCATGTAATTATAAGCTTACATCAGGGGCGATTCTAGATTCTGCCCTTT